TAAGGTATAAAAGCTCTAGCGGCACTGGTTGGCCAAGGTCACATAGCTTGTTACATGAATTCAAGTACTGATGTACTTCTTAAATCCACCTCCTCTGTCTTATCAGGCACACACTGTACCTCCTTCATATCTCTTACCTAACTTGAGTTTTGACCCTTGCAAGAAGCCAGGTGACCCATGTCAGCCACATTGAACTTCCTCTTGTTCACCTACAGGTCAGCTCATTCGCCCCTTGCCTTTCTGTGTGGGCTCTGACAGTCTGCCTGCCCATGTACCTGTGTAGCTCTTGACATTGTAGAAGATGTATTCTATGGAAAATGTCTCAGTTCTTTGTGTCAGGCACCATGTCTGCTAATTCCCTTGGTAGGTGTAAGTCCAGGTTTGGGCTTGATTTTTTTAAGCCTGGTTCCTTTGGGTATTTCTAACTTTGACTCTTGACTTTGTTTTAATGCTTTAATGACAATATCAAGCAAGCCCTTGCTAAATTGCTAAGTACTTAACAGTATAATCTTTGACCTGTACCAAGGACTCCCTGTGATACAATCTTTGATCCAACTGGTTCCTTTGGGTATTTCTAACTTTGACTCTTGACTTTGTTTTAATGCTTTAATGACAATATCAAGCAAGCCCTTGCTAAATTGCTAAGTACTTAACAGTATAATCTTTGACCTGTACCAAGGACTCCCTGTGATACAATCTTTGATCCAACTGTCCTAAGAAAGAAGCTTGGCCTATTTTACAGATGAGGAAACTCAACCAAAGCTTGGAGAACAGCTCAATTACTAGATTGCTTACTCCAAAAGTGAGTACCTGGGTTTAGATCCCCAGCATCCATGTCAAAAGCTAGGTACTGGACCTAGAGAGACAGCTTAGTAGTTAGCACTTGCTCTTCAGAGGCCCAAGGTTTGACTCCCAACCTGAGAAGAGGATGCACTGCCCTCTTGGACTCTGCACAGGCACTGCACATGGTGCATGTATGGAGACTGAGGCACTCACATAAACGTTTTATATTTTTATTTCTGGCATGGTGACACACTAATTTCAGCACTCAGGAGGCAAAGATAAGGGTAATCCCTGAGTTCAAGACCAGCCTGGTCTACATAGTGAATCCAGGGGCAAATAGATAGTCCTTAAAAGCTGTGTGTATTTGTGAATTGCATGTATCTATGTGTACAGTCGCCATATTGCAGAAGAGGCTGTTAAATTCCCTGGAACTAGAGTTGGTAGTTGTAAGCCACCCATCATGTGCTGAGAACTGAACACAGGACTTCCCAACCTCCAACTCCAGGGGATCCAATGTCCTCTGACTTACACTGTCATCTGTTCACACACAATATGCACTCACAGACAATGCACATCGTAAGTAAAACCAGGCATGAAGCACTGGGTTAGATCCCCAGCACATGAACCTTGCATGAGGGTGCACTTGGGAGGTATAGGCAAAGGGATCAGAAGTTTCAGCTACTTAAGTTCAAGACCAGCCTGAGATAGGTGAGATCCTGTCTCAAAAAAGAAACTTTGCAAAAGTCAAACAGAAATGTCTCCTTGAAGATGAGTTCTCTGAACTAGCCTAAATTACTTTGAGGTCATGTGATTGAGGGCCAGTCTTGAGCCTTTCTACAATACATGGGTAAAAAGCATCCCAAATCCTGTTTTTTCTGGGAAGCTCTTTGAGAGTCCAAGAACTTAAAATTTACTGTACTTTTATAGGACAGTAGAGATGGAAAAGTCCTGTTTATTATAACATTAAAACTGTCTAGTGAAGATGATTTGATAAAGTGATTTAAGTCTTTATAGCCAAAAATAATCCTGCTACATATTGAAGTTGGTCTAGACGACACTACTCATGAGTGTCTTCTAGACACTTGGCCCTTGCTCACCCACACTTGAGCATTTCTGCAGGGAATGTGCTCAGAAAGTCCAGCAGCAACTGCTCTGAGCTTTTACTATAGATTTCTAAGTAATTCCTCTCTGGAAATGGAGTTCTGTAAACTAAAATGGAGTTCTGTAAACTGCCACCTAAATATTTCCAGCCTATGAGGTGTCACTTCTCCCTACATATCTTTCTTCTCCTGCCCCCCACATCATTGTTCACTGCTCACCTGCTCTTTAAAAAGGCACCTTTTCGCCACCTGCACTAAATAGTGTGTTGTCCCTCCACTGTGAGAGTCTTCCCATTCCCATCAGACTGAAGAGGAAAGTCCCTGCTATGGTGCCCATAAAACCTACAGGGCCTAATGCCTTCTTGGTGCACCTGTGATATCCCCCTGAGAGCACCTCAAGTAAATGGTGTGTCTCATTTCAGCTGAAGGAAAAAGTAACACTAAGAACTAGGAAAAAAAAAAATACTTGTAAGAAAATCATTGCTGGGAAAAGGGATCCAGCCCTTTAGCTATGCAAAGGCCCAGTCATGTGTTCCACGGTGATGTACTCAAAGGATGTGGGTGTACAGAGATTTGGTGGTTCAACGTGTAAATGCTTGCACAAGCATGAAGACCTTCCAGATCTCTAGCAGCCATGTGAAAACTTGGCATCCTAAGGCATGCCTGCAACCATGAAGCGAAGTGGTGCACAGTTCACTGGCCACACACACTGCATGAAGAAGTAAGCTCTGGGTTAAGTGAGAAATCATGTCTCAAGAAGATGGAGAAGCAATTGGGGAAGACATTTCAAAATCAACCTCTGACTTTCACGTATGTCCAGATGGTCAAGCACACTCACAAGTGTACAGACATAACACAAGGCTTAGTTTATACCTTTTTTTAGGGACATTCTTTCCTATCTAATTTTATTTGGCTCTCTTGATTGACAAAAGACATGGCATCCAAAGTTGTGAATGACATGACATGACCTTCATGATGATAAACAGTTGTACAAACTGAGGCTGGAGAGATGGCTCAGTGGTTAAGAACACTGGCTGCTCTACCAGAGGTCTCAAGTTGGGTTCCCAGCAACCACATGGTGGCCCAACCATCTGCAGTGAGATCTGACACCCTCTTCTGGCCTGCAGACATACATGCAGGTGGAACACTGTATACATAATAAATCTTGGGAAAAAACAATTGTACAAACAACCAGACACTGCGACTGAAATTCCAGAACAAGAACTCCAAATGAAGGGAGATTATTGTGGAGTACTGGGTCAGGAGGTGATTTCAAGGAATTGGGTCAGACCAGCACATACAGTGAGAAGTAGGCTGCTGCTCTACTCTTCTGTCCTAAGAAAATTAGTGTTTATCTTCTAATTTTATTAGGGAAAAAACAGTAAAAAAAAAATTACTTATTATATGCAGGCACAAATACTACAAGGTTGATTTTGTTTTCTCCTTAGAAACCTAGTAAGATATTTGGGGGTTGAACAAGGCTGACAAGTAGACAGCGGGTATGTGAGCATACAACCCCTCCATGAATAACAATGAGTTTGAAGCACCAGGCATACCTGTGTGACCTGGACCTCCCAATGGATCTAGCTGCCTCCGCAGCTCACCCCTGACAATAGAAGTTGGTAACCATTTATCCAGGAATGGATTTGCAGTCCCCAAGACTGATTCAGACTTGCCTCCTGCTTGTATTTTTCCTTTGTACTTTCAGCTGTCAGATCCACTGAGACCAAATCCATCATTTTCCCTCTCCTAGAGTAGAAAGGTCTCACTTTCAGCCATCTCGCATTACTTTCAACACAGAAAGGCCATCCAACATATTCAAAGTGTATGTTTGTTTTGGTTGAGAAACCATGTGTAAATCAGCCCAAGCTTGCACATAAAAAAAAAAAAAAAAAGGAGACAGCCTCGTGTGTTTCAGGCTGGCCCTAGACTGCATGTGATTGAAGGTAACCCCGAACTTCTGAACTCCTGCCCCTACCTCCCAAGTGCCAGGAAGGTGGTTTTTGTTTGTTTTTATTGTTTTTGTTTGGTTTTTGAGACAGGGTCTCATGTAACCAAAGTTGGCATAGAGCTAGTTCAGGGCTGACTTTGAAATCTTGGTCCTGCCTACTCCTCCTCCCACGTGCTGGAGTTACTGACAAGCCTGACCACATCTGGCTTAGTACTCCTGTTGTCTTACGAAGACACCTCAAAAGAATGGCAGGACCTGACTCAACAGGGTAGGTATCCCAAAGCAGCCAGTCCTGAGAATAAGGATCCCACCTAAACTAGAGTGAGACCGCTTGAAAGAGGAGGCTTTGCGCTGGTGGTGGGGACTCCACCAAACAAGCCAAAGAATCCCAGCAACTTTCATTTTCCCAGGTGCTGCCCCAGTGACCGGAAAGCCCCTAGCATTTTGGATCAAACATCTCACGTCTACCACTTTCAGCCAAGTTACTCAATCTTGCTGAACGTGTTTTCCTCATGGGAAGAAACATTTAAGCTTACATAGCTGTGTTGATTTTAGAGGCGTGCTTTGCAGTAGGCGCTGCTCACAGAGTACACAACATAAAAATTGCTTTTTCATTATAATCCAGAATGTTGTATATATAAGTAGAAACAACTGAGACAAAGCTGTCACAAGTAATACTGTTTACTACTGGAGTCTTTTCCTATTCGCATTTTTAAACGTTTTGCTGCATGTGATCTGTGCATCACGTGGGTGTCTGGGACGCCAGAAGAGGGCGTCTGGCTTCGGATCTCTTGGAACTGGAGTTAATGACCTGTGCGAGCGCCACATCAGGGCTGTGAATCGATCCTGGGTCCTCTGCAAAAGCAGCAAGTGCTCTTAATTGCTGAGCTATTTTCCTGGCCTCTTAATTTTTGTTAAATGTGGGTTGCAATCCACTACATTGTGTTGATAACTCCTTTTGGATAATTTCATAAAAGAACTGTTCGGAAACAAAATTATGCAACCGTTAATTAATTAAGAGCAACCGTTGATGGTTTGACTCCCCTAAGAGGAGACAGTGCAGCCCCCGGCCTCAAGTCGGCTCGGGCCGGGAAGGCCTGCCTCCTTCCCTAAAGTTAGGCGAAGAAAGCCGGAACTGGAGGCTCAGGCGGTGACGTACACTTCCGGTTTGGTGGCCTTAACGCGCGCCCGCGCGCGGCTGTCGTGAGGACTCGGGGTCGTTAGGCGCGGTGGCCCCAGCCCTCCAGAGTGCCATGAGGTCGGTTAGCTACGTGCAGCGCGTGGCGCTGGACTTCAGCGGGAGCCTTTTCCCGCACGCCATCTGCCTCGGAGACGTCGATAACGACTCGGTGAGTACATGCGCACTGCAAATGACAGCACTTGGGCGGGGCGAGAGGTAGGAAGTAGCTTGTGGTGCGCGTGCGCACTGGAGCCATCATGGCGTGCGAAAGACAAACTTGATTGACAGTCTCAGTCCCTGAGCAACATAGCCGGCGGCTTAATTGAACAGGAACCTCTGGAACAGTTTTAGTTTTTTTTTTTTTAAGTTTTAAATTTTACGTGTAGAATGTTTTGCTGCATGTACATCTATGTACCACATGTGTGCAGTGTCCATAGAGACCAGAAGAGGCCCGTTGGACCATTGGATCCCCTAGAAGTGGAGTAACAGACAGCTGTGAGCTGCCACGTGGGTGCTGGGACTCGAACCCTATTCCTCTGGAAGAGCAGCTAGTGTCTTAACTGCTGAGTCATCTCTTCAGCCATATGTTTGTTATTAATAATTTTAAAGACTAGATAATTGGCCCTTTTGCCCAGCTCAATGATTTGTCAGAGTAGGCGCCTTGTAAAGCAGCGATCAAGTTCCCTGCATTATTGCTTCCCCTAGTCGAAATACCCTTCCAAAACTCTACCTTTCCAAGCCCCCAATTGGAGACAGCGTTTCTCTAAAACAACCCTGGTTATACTGAACTGCTTTATATACCAGGATGTCCTCGAACTCAGAGTGATCCACCTGTCTCCGCCTCCCAAGAGCTGGGATTAAAGGCATGCGCCACCACCCGGCCAATTTTTTTTATACCAGTAAATTTCGTTTAATAATATCTCTCTGCCTATGGCTATGCCCTCCCGTCCTCTAGGCTACCGTGCTTGCACACTTGTTATTGCCCTTGGCTTCCGCACTGGAATCAACAGGTAGACTTCTCTGCTGCGGCAGTCGGCCGCAGATAGCCCACAATCAGTCTTGATCATGCCAGGCTTCTACTGTGCCCACCCAGAATAGACTCAAGTGTCTGGCGACTTCGTAGTGCTACCTGTTTGTTGAATTGCACAAGCTATGCCCACCAACTCTTTTCTTTCCTAGGCAATTGTTCCTTTTCTCATCATTTTTATAAATAAATACAGATTACGGAGGTGGAACGCATGGTTTCACATCTGGGCGCAGTTATTGCTCTGGAAATATTAGAGTTATTAGTATTAGCAGCCCTCCCAATCCAAGTGCTCCATGCCCAGGATTCACCAGACCCCATAGGGAAAAGAATGGATCTGTCCTGAACATGTTCAAGTTCCATTTATTGACACCATTACACAAACAGTACGGAATAGCGACTATACATTATATCCCCTAATGAAGGGGATACTTTTGAGGAATGCATTATTGGATTACTTTGTAGTCCTAACATCATAGTGTGTGCTTACACAAACCTGAATGGCATTTATCCTGACGTATAGAGCCCACCATTGGCCCAACTCTGTGCTGCATGGGTCTGTATTCATATAGCCCTCGAGATGATTTAAAGTGATATGGTAGCAGTCTGAGGACATAGCTACCAAACACTTCCCTAACCATGAACAAAGCCCTGGGTTGAATTCTTGGTACCACAGAAATCAATAAAAGAATAAAGATTGAGTTGGGCATGGTGGCACACCTTTAGTCCCAGAATTGGGGAGGCAGAGGCAGGCAGATCTCGGAGTTCAAGGCCAGCCTGCTTGACACAGCAATTTCCAGGACAGCCAGGACTACACAGAGAAACCCTGTCTCCAAAAAGAGAGAGGGAGCGAGAAAAGAAAAGAAAAATTAAATTGTCCAAGAGGTTATCTACAAACACTAGTCTGTGGTTACAGAATTCCTGAAACCAATGCCCCGCAGATACAGAGGTTCAGCTGTACTTTCTGCTCTTCTTATTTTCCTTGCCTACATTGTGAACACCATTGCTATAACATCCTTAAGAATAGGATTTGTGTGTGTGTGAATACCTAAAACTGAAGTTACAAATGGTTGTGAGCTGACGTGTGGAGGCTGGGAAGCAAAACTGGTTTTCTCCAAGAACAGCAAGTACTCTAAACCACTAAGCCAATCTCTTCATCTCCCACGCTCAATAATTTTAAAATTACACTTGCTCATTTGCATGTGCGAGTACAGGGTGAGCAGTATAGAGGTCAAAGACCCACACACGCGTACCACAGCGCAGTATAGAGGTCAAAGAACCATGCATACCACAGTGCAGTATAGAGGTCAAAGAACCATGCATACCACAGTGCAGTATAGAGGTCAAAGAACCATGCGTACCACAGCGCAGTATAGAGGTCAAAGAACCACACACGCGCCACAGCGCAGTATAGAGGTCAAAGAACCACACACGCGCCACAGCGCAGTATAGAGGTCAAAGAACCACACACGCGCCACAGCGCAGTATAGAGGTCAAAGAACCACACACGCGTACCACAGCGCAGTATAGAGGTCAAAGAACCACACACGCGCCACAGCGCAGTATAGAGGTCAAAGAACCACACACGCGTACCACAGCGCAGTATAGAGGTCAAAGAACCATGCGTACCACAGTGCAGTATAGAGGTCAAAGAACCACACACGCGCCACTGCGCAGTATAGAGGTCAAAGAACCACACATGCGCCACAGCGCAGTATAGAGGTCAAAGAACCACACACGCGTACCACAGCGCAGTATAGAGGTCAAAGAACCACACACGCGTACCACAGCGCAGTATAGAGGTCAAAGAACCACACACGCGTACCACAGCGCAGTATAGAGGTCAAAGAACCACACACGCGTACCACAGCGCAGTATAGAGGTCAAAGAACCACACACGCGTACCACAGCGCAGTATAGAGGTCAAAGAACCACACACGCGTACCACAGCGCAGTATAGAGGTCAAAGAACCACACACGCGTACCACAGCGCAGTATAGAGGTCAAAGAACCATGCGTACCACAGTGCAGTATAGAGGTCAAAGAACCACACACGCGTACCACAGCGCAGTATAGAGGTCAAAGAACCATGCATACCACAGTGCAGTATAGAGGTCAAAGAACCACACACGCGTACCACAGCGCAGTATAGAGGTCAAAGAACCATGCGTACCACAGTGCAGTATAGAGGTCAAAGAACCACACACGCGTACCACAGCGCAGTATAGAGGTCAAAGAACCATGCATACCACAGTGCAGTATAGAGGTCAAAGAACCATGCGTACCACAGTGCAGTATAGAGGTCAAAAACAACTTGCAGGAGTCAGTGCTCACATCTACCATGTGGATGCTGCCCAGGGATCAAACTCGGGTTTTCAATATAAAATTGTTATGAAAGGCAAGTGTGAAAAACAAAATATTGTATGTTGAAGGTGTTGGTCCCAGTGCTGTTTTTAAAGAAAGACAAAGCAAATGTGATTGTTGCACAGCCACCTGAAGAGCTATGTGTGTAGTTAGGGGGAAGATGGAAGAAGTTGGGAAAATGGACAAGTTAACAAATGGTCAGCTGCAGCACATGACTGTAGATAAACATTGTTACTGTATGAGGGTGTAGCCCAGTGGCTGGGCACATATCTAGAACGTGTGGGACCCTGCCTTCCTTCCCCACCACCATGCCAACATAGAAAAAAGAAAGGGAAAAATTTGCTGCTAAGCGAGTTGGTACACATCTGTAATCTCAGTACTCAGGAGGGAGAGGGAGGAGGATCATTGCAAGTCTGTGGCCACCTTGATCTGCACAGCAGATTCCAGGCCACCCAGGACTACATGATGAAACGCTGTCTCAGAATTACCAATAAAACATGGTTTGTGGCCAGGTGGTAGCGCATGCCTTTAATCCCAGCACTCAGGAGGCAGAGGCAGGAGGATCTCTGTGGGTTTGAGGCCAGCCTGGTCTACAGAGTGAGTTCCAGGACAGCCAAGGCTACACAGAGAATCCTGTCTTGGAAAAAAAAAAAAAAACCACTATGGCTTGTGTGCCAGGCAGTGGTGGTGCACACCTTTAATCCCAGTACTCAGGAGGCAGAGGCAGGCGGATCTGTGAGTCTGAGGCTATCTTAGTCTACAGAGTGAGTTCCAGGACAGGCTACACAGAGAAACCCTGTCTCAGGGGGAAAAATAATATTAATAATAAAAAAAAAAGCATGCTTTGTGGTCCCCAAATATTTGGTGTTTGGGAATTGAGGACAAAGACTGATTTAAACCTGATAAACTCTTAGTTCTTTGAAGCTCATTTATTTCCTGCTGAGATGGAGGCAGAAGCCAGGAATAAAACATGCTTTTAGGCCACCCACAGAAGCCTGCCTGGATGTGGCACAGCAAGTCTCTGGGAGATGAAAGCTTTCTCATTCAGCACTGCTGAGCGTGGTGGACTTTCCCTCGGGGGTTCTGTAAAGTCGCTGTGTGGCCTGGTGAAGCCAGAGCTTAGTTCTGTCAGAGCAACAGATCTGATGGGAAGCTGTCAAGTGCTAGAGAGCCGGGAGCCGCCTGGAAATGACCTCTCCTGCATGCTGCCTCAGGTTGCCCGACTGGGTTACATCTGCTTGCTCAGTGTACTTACTGTGCTGTTTTATGGTTCTTTTTCTGTCTCTGTGGCTCTGCAAAACTGAGAGGTCCTTCTCACCAAGAAGGGAGGATGGCTGAGCATTCTAGAAACTGAGGGCCAGCTGAGCGTTTTCTTTCTTGGGTAAAGTCCCACAGTGTACCTTCCTGAGGCTGACCTGGGATTGGCAGTCCTCCCCCACTTCTTCAACCTCTGGGTGCTGGGATTATAGGCATGCACACTGTTCGTTGTAGGCTCCTCTCAGCATTTTATACGTGAAAAAAATGTAAACAGGAACAGCAGATAAAGACGCTTACCACCAAGTCTGGTGATCTGAGTTTGGGCTCTAGGATCCACATGGTAGAAGGAGAGAGCTGTTTCTTACACACCACGTGGCACACATGTGTGTGCATAGACACACACACGCAAGTAAATAAATACATGTGATTTTAAAAATATTTGTTTTGGAAGCACAAAGGCAATTTTATTAAAACTTAAAAACCTGGCAGGCAAGCTTTCAAACAGCAGCTGCCTGAGGTGAAGAAGGGAAAGGCCATGCCATTTTAGCAGGAAACGAGGTCAGACACATGACACACGAGCAACTGCATGGGGGGAGGAAAGCCTGAAATGCCTTCCAAAAGCTCCAAGTGTGACGGAACGCATGCTTAGAGAGGACAGAGGCAGGGGAAGTTGCGCTTTTCTGGATAATGCAGAAAAGCAGGCATGCATGCAGCCCTACATGACTATGGCCCTATATATAAGTTGTTTGGTTTTTTCTTTTTTGATTTATTTATTTATGTACAGTGTTCTGCCTGCATGTATGCCTGTAGGCCAGAAGAGGGCACCAGATCTCGTTACAGATGGTTTTGAGCCACCATGTGGTTGCTGGAAATTGAACTCCGAACCTCTGGAAGAGCAGGCAATGCTCTTAACCACTAAGCCATCTCTCCAGCCCTGACCCATAAGTTTCTGCTTTAAAATTTTTAAGAAAAGTGTATTCACTGTTGGAGAGGTGGCTTGGTTTCTAAGAGTACTGGCTGTTCCTCCAGAGGACCCCAGTTTTAGTCCCAGCACTCGGGCTCACAACTACCTGTAACTCCAGTTCCAGGGGCCCTGACACGCTCTTCTGACCTCTGAGGACACGTGGCATGCACAAGGTGCACAGACATACATGCAGCCAAAACACCCATACACATAAAATAAAAATAAATCTTTTAGAGCAAGAGAGAGCTGGGTTTGGTGGGGTGTATACCTTTAATCCCAACATTCAGGAGGCAGAGGCAGGCCCATCCCTGTGAGTTCAAAGCCAGCCTGGTGTACCGAATTAGTTCCCATAACAGTCAGTGCTGTTACTCAGAGAAATCTTGTCAAAAAAACAAAAAAACAAAAACAAGACAAAACAAAGAGAGTGAGAAACAGAGAAAGGGGTAAAAATGGGATCAGAAAGATCTGTGTAAAAATCCAACAGTTGCACTATGAATCCTCTCTCCATGGTGTCTGCAAAAGTTCTCTCAGCTGACTAATTGAGACCTCAACTGTCAGGGCTGTAATAAGCAGAATATATGCTGCTATTCCTTTTTGTTGTTGTTGTTGTTTGGTTTTTCGAGACAGGGTTTCTCTGTAGCTTTGGAACCTGTCTTGGAACTAGCTCTTGTAGCCCAGGCTGGCCTTGAACTCACAGAGATCCGCCTTCCTCTGCCTCCAAGTGCTGGCATTTAAAGGCTTGTGCCACCACTGCCTGGATTCCTTTTTTGTTTTTTTTTTATAACTTTGCACAAAACTCCCATAACTATTTAAAAATACATGTTTAAAAGTTAAATCATTATGTCAATCCCAGTTTGTCTCAGATTTCTTTGTTTTTGGGGGAGGGCTCTCAGTTAGCTGGCTCTAACAGATTTATGTCACTCCTTACTGTAGATCTATCACCACGTTAATGTTGTTGATCTCTTAAGAATCTAACTTTAGCTTCCTCTCTTTGGGGGAGACATTGTCTTCTTCCCAAGAGAAGATCAGGAAATTGTAGAAGCAGGGCTTGGAGCCAGCTGACTCCCCAAATGGATTAGCCGTGGTGGGGAGAGGCTCTGTGAAGGGACCCTCCCTCCCCCAGAGCCAAGAGACTGACACCAGCAACACCTTCAGGCCCCTCTCTGAGACAGATCCATTCCTCTGTGTTCCGATAATGAAAATCATTAAAACTCAGGGGCCTTGTAAGAAGAGATGGGACCCTGGGAACTGACTTTGTATTTTTGACGTCTGACAAAATAGGAAGCCTGAAGTACTATTTTTCCAAAGTTCACTATTAGACTGTTTCCAAAACGTGTCGCATTTGTAATGGACCAGTGAGTGTACAAGGTCAGGCATTTTTGGGCGGAGAGCTGTGCTGCTAGTTGATCTACCTGGATCACTGCTCCTGTAGAACTTTTCCATTACGCACACACGGAAGTAAGGTCTGGGAAACTGACTGTGTTGGTTCCAAAATATTTGTTTGTTGTTGGGTTCCTTTTACTTCACCTGTGCCAGGCAACTGCCCTGCTACTGAAACACCCCTAGCTCCTGAGCGATCAGTCTCAGAAGATTTTTTCCCCCCTGAAACATGTTCTTACTGTGTAACCCAGGCTGGCCTTCAACTTGCTACCCTCTGGCTTCCATCTCCTGAGTGCTGGGATCACAGGCAGATCTACCATACCTCTCAATGCCTTTTTTTTTTAAAGACAGTATTAGGCTGACCTTAAATTTGCTACGTAACTTGAGAATGGCCTCAAACTTCCGGCAACGTGCCTTCACATTTACCTCTAGTGCTGAGTTTATGGTGTGTGCCACGATGCCTGTTTTCTCTCATTTTTGTTTTTTTTCCCTTTTTTTTAATGTTGTTTTTCTTTTGATTTTTGAGACACTATGTGGCCTTGACTGTAGACCAGATCCTGTGCTTCTGCCTCAGGAGTACAGGGACCAGAGCAATGCCATCACACCCAGCAACCATGCCTAGTTTTATGTGGTACTAGGGATAGGACCAGGGCCTCAGGCGTTTTAGGCAAAGCACGTTACCAACCAAGCTACACCTGCAGCCATCAAAGGCTTTCTTTTATGTTTTTTTTGTTTTGTTTTTTGTTTGTTTTTCGAGACAGGGTTTTTCTGTGTAACTTGGGCTCCCTGGAATTTACTCTGTAGACCAGGCTGGCCTCGAACTCACAGAGATCCACCTGCCTCTGCCTCTTAGAGTGCTGGGATTACAGGCGCGCGCCACCACTGCCCAGCAATGTTAGGTGTTTCCATGACAAACTAAACTGAGAAGCGGTTGCTGGGATTCTGTAAAATTTCTTCCTAATATTGTTCTCTCTCCATTTGCAGTTAAATGAACTAGTGGTGGGAGACACCAGTGGAAAACTGTCTGTGTATAAGAACGATGACAGCCGACCGTGGCTCACCTGCTCCTGCCAGGGAATGGTCAGTCTTTATCTCTGTGGGGCTTGGGAAGGAGCCAGGATACCTTTGTGTTGGTCTGCCAAGGAGTCCCACAGGGGATTCCCTAGCAACTCAGCCGAGTTACTGCTTCAGAGTTGTTTTCTGGGGGAGGGTAACCCCAGGAATTGCTCTCATCTGTCCCTCTTTCAACTCTCTCACAAGACTATTATCTTACTTTGCTTTCTATTGCTGTGATAAAGGTCATGGCCAAAAATAACTTGAGGAGGAAGGAGCTTATTTAAGCTTACAGTTTATAGTCTATAGTGAAGTTGGAAGGTGGGGCAGGCTCTCCAGGAGGGAACCTGGAAGCACGAACTCAAAGCATGGAACTGCTTGCTGGCCTGCTTTCTTAGACAGCCCGGAGCCATCTGGCCAGGGTTGGGCCTCTTACATCGGGCATTAATCAAGAAATTGCCTACAAGCAATCTTTTTTTAAAAAAAAAAAAAAATATTTATTTATTTATTTATTTATTATGTATACAATATTCTTTCAGCGTGTATGCCTGAAGGACAGAAGAGGGCACCAGACCTCATTACAGATGGTTGTGAGCCACCATGTGGTTGCTGGGAATTGAACTCAGGACCTTTGGAAGAGCAGGCAATGCTCTTAACTGCTGAGCCATCTCTCCAGCCCCCCCTACAAGCAATCTGATGGAGGCATGTTCTCAGCTGGGGTTTCTCTTCTCATATAACTCTAGCTTTTGTCAGTTTGACAGGGGGGAAAAAAGACAACTATATTGTCCTTCATGTTGTAGGATGAGCTTGCTGCTTTATGGTGGCTGCCTAAGACTTCTGATAGTATGCAGTGCCGCTAACAACAAGGATGCGTCTAAGAAATGCCTTGTTAGGTTCCTTTAACATCAGGTGCCCACCGCAGCATTTATATAAGCTAACACAGCTACTGTGTTTCCTTAGTTTTATGAGGTGGGGTCTGGCTTTGTAGCTCAGGCTGGCATCCTCCTGCCTCGGCCTCTTAACTGACACCCAGCTGTGTGATGAGATCTTATAGGTCTACCATAAGATATGTGATGTTCTGTCGACTAAAATGTCCTTATACGATACATGACTGTATAATAAAAATGGGGATGATAATTGGAATAATCTAGAAATATAATAATCAGGCTATTTTCCTATTTGGTGGGTTTTTTTTTGCGTGGGGGCGGAAGGGGGTATTATAGGAAGTTGTCTTGCTTTGTAGCACTGGCTGGCCTGGAATTCATGGCAGTGCTTCTGCCTCAGCCTCCTGAGTGCTAGAAGAGCACAGGTGGGCACCACACAGCTAGATTTTATTCATTTTTACCTAAGTCTGAATTTTTATCTGCTTGAGTCTTTGTATTGCTGTATGAATAAACCAAATTATATAGCTCAACGTGTCTATCAATAAAGACAATTCATTATAGGTCATGTGACGCAAGCTTTAGGTGATTAGGAAAGAATGCCATCATTCCTTCATCAGCCTCCTTTTCTCTCTTGCAGTTGACTTGTGTTGGGGTCGGAGACGTGTGTAATAAAGGAAAGGTAAGGACGCGGGGCTTCTCTGGCTAGGGTAGAACCCCAGGTCCTTGCCTCCATTGCGACTCTTTAGGAAGGTCGGCCCTGGCCTTTGAGATCTGCTTCTTAGCCCCTCCCCACCTCATGCACCTCTGTTGTACCTCTCTCTCTCTCCCAGAACCTGGTGGTGGCCGTCAGCGCAGAGGGCTGGCTTCACTTATTTGACCTGACATCCACCAAGGCTCTGGATGCTTCTGGGCACCATGAGACTCTTGGAGAAGAACAGCGTCCTGTCTTCAAGCAGCACATCCCAGCCAACACCAAGGTCATGCTGATCAGCGACATTGGTGAGCATGAGCAGCCAAGGAGCAGGGACTGGGCAAAGGGGGAAAGTTGGGTCCATTTTGTACATTGTTGTGTGTTTACTTTTTCTCTTTTTATTTGGTTTTACTTTATTTTCATTTATTGTATAGTTGAGGCATAGTTACTGAGCCCCTACTTAATAACTAGGAGCTACGGACCTAGTGTGAGCTAGGAACCGTTCTGTGTTCTAGAATTACAAAGTGAATAAAGCAAGCAAAAAAAAAAAATCATACCATCTTAGATTGTTCTGGGAAGAGATAGAATAAATTTTATAAGAAAATTAAATAATGAAGCTGGGAATTTGGCTCAGGATTACAACACTTGTCCAGCGTGACCAGGCCTGAGTTCATCCCAGCCGAAAATCAGTCATTCAGTGCTATAGTAGAAGGTAACAAGTGTTGGGATAAAATAAATCAAAGGGCTGAGGATAGCAAGGTATAGACAGCAATTTAAAAGATTTCTTTGTATTTAATTATGTGTAGGTTTGTGTGTGGGTTGTGCACATGAGTGAAGGTCAAACCCCTGTAGTTGGAATTACAGGAAGTTGTGAGCCATTTGACATGGTTATTGAGAACCTAACTGGGGTCCTCTGGAAGAGCAGCAAGTACTCTGAACTGCTGAGCCAGACCCAAGAGGTAGAGATTTTAAATAGAGTTGTCAGGGACATTCTTGCTGGAAGGTGGCATTTGGGTAAAGTGACAAGGGTGAGCTTAGCAACATGGGACTGCTGCTTGGCTCGAAGTTATCTAGGTAGGAAGCATGTGCGATGGATGTAGGAAACAGAGAGCAGAGATGATGAACCCTGCGTAGCATTTCAGTGAGAAACGGCACGAGCACAAGACCAGGCCGGAATGGGCAGTTACCACAGGATGTGGTTCATGGCCCAGAAGACTGGACTCAACTGAAAGTGCTGGGACTGCCGGCTGTGGTTCGGCTGCAAATCCATTGTTTCTGTGCCTACAGATGGAGACGGGTGTTACGAGCTGGTGGTAGGATACACAGACCGTGTGGTACGGGCCTTCCGCTGGGAAGAGCTGGCTGAGGGGCCTGAACACCTGACAGGGCAACTGGTGTCCCTCAAGAAGTGGATGCTGGAGGGTCAGGTGAGAAGCAGAGATTGGGGACCTACGCTAAGAGCCAGTGAACAGAAAAGTCAAGAGGAATGTGGGGTCCATCTGGGAAGAAGGAAAATGTCCTTGACGAGAGAGGTCCAGCATTCCTCGGCTCTCAGTGGAATTTTAGTAACGGGCAGAGTGCAAAGACTGCACTGGGAATTCAGTGTGTGCTGTGGGGCACACAGCAGGAGCCTGGTCTGGGGTGGGTGGTGCCAGACAAGATTCATGGGCCTTAGAACTCCTCCTATGCCCATCAAACCAGAGGCTAATTCTCAGAAGCCCTGCCTGTGTCTCCCTCCCTTCCTGATCTGCCCCCGTTAAGACTGTTCTCGGTGCAGGTCGACAGTCTCTCTGTGACCCCAGGGCCTCTGGGTGTGCCGGAACTGGTTGTCTCACAGCCAGGGTGTGCTTACGCAGTTCTGCTGTGTACCTGGAACAAGGATGCTGGCTGCCCTCCCGCCTCTGAGGAGGCCACAGGAGACAGTAGGTAAGGGGATGAGGTGGTGGGTGCATCAAAGTAAGGGCAGGGTGACATGGTAGTAGACAGGCCAATGCAGGTTTCAAGGCTCCATCATCTAAGCCACAGCCCAAGCACTTGGCCCTTTTAGAAAAGACTGTTTAGGACCAGGAGTCCTGGGCTTTAACCTTGCGACATCTGAGCACCATGAGCCGGTCTTTGCAGAGATTCCACCATTCGGATTCATTCCTCCCGGCAGCCCCATCACCCTTCCTTTCTTTTCCATGAGTCAGAACGGGTCAGGGGTGAGCTTCTGAAAGTGAAGCTCCTGCAGTGATGGTGGATATAAAGGGCCTAGAGAACTCAGTTCCCTTGGCCTCCCATTGGCCCAATGTCTTTCTTACCGACAGGGAAACCCCAGCTGCCCGAGACATAGTGCTGCACCAGACATCTGGCCGGATCCACAACAAGAACGTTTCCACTCACCTAATTGGCAACATCAAACAAGGTAAGGAAGAGGAAGAGCTGAACAAGGCAGTTGTGGGAGAAAAGAGACCCAGGGCCCTGCCCTCATTCCTACCTCCATCGCCCGCACAGGTCATGAAACTGGTAACTCAGGCCTCTTTGCCCTGTGCACCCTAGATGGTGAGTAGTCCTGGGCTGGGTGGAGTGGGCGGGTCATGAGCAGACACCCTAAGGGGTCTGCTCAAAGGCCCAGCATATACATATATACATGCACACATACGCATACACACACACAGCACCCCCGCACACCAGCACACACACACACACACACCACACACACATACACACCAGCACATACACATACATATAGGCACACATACATACCACACACAGTCACACACACTCACTCATATACACATCCCAGCATGCACACACACACATTGTCACATACCACCTCTCTTCCTGCAGGGACGCTGAAGCTGATGCAGGAAGCAGATAAGCTCTTGTGGTCGGTACAGGTGGATCACCAGCTCTTTGCCCTGGAGAAGCTGGATGTCACGGTGAGTGGACTTTTTCCCTTTCTGAGATTCATTTATTTATTTTTATGTGCATAGATGTTTTGACTACATGTATGTCTGTGTGCCACATGTATGCCTGGTACCCACAGAGGCCAGAAAAGTGCATCAGATCCCCTAGAACTGCACTTACAGACAGTTATTAGCTACTTTGTGGGTGCTAGGAATCAAACCCAGGTGCTCCAGAAAAAACGAACCATCATTCCAGCCTCATGAGAAGACATTTAAATGTAGCCATGCCCAAATCCCAGTCAACAGTGAACCTTTTTCTTAGACAAAATGAATGTGTCCCTCTCTTTACACCCAAGTGTGCCCTTATAGCACAGAATTTAATACTTCTCTTTGAGGCTACTGGAAAATCATTTCCATGCCTTTCAACCAAAAATAATAGTCCTAAAGAAAGCAGGCTACAGGTCTAGAAGTGGGCTATTTGTCACAAATGTAGCTGAGTCTTGTGGTTTCTTCTTGTCCACAAGTCTGTTTTTTATCAGTGTAGCCCTCAAATGACAGGGCCTACATTGCTCACACTGTGGTGCGTGCTCCATGGCTTTGACCAGTAGAACAGATCTGTGTTTGGGTCTTGCCCCTGCCTGTGACCTTGGGCTTTATTATTCCTCTAAGAAGAAATTTCCCAGTATAAAACTGAGAATAAGGGGGTGGTGGCACACGCCTTTAATCCCAGCACTCAGGAGACAGAGGTAGGTGGATCTCTGTGAGTTCGAGGCCGACCTGGTCTACAAGAGCTAGTTCCAGAACAGGCTCCAAAGCTACAGAGAAACCCTGTCTCGAAAAATCAAATAAAACTGAGAATAATGTTTGCATCATAGTGTTGCTTTGAACATTAGGCAAAGTAGATTACGATTGCCCTGTTGGGCACTTGGCACGTGGAAGAACTACCCCAGTTTATGGTTTGCCACCCAGGGTCAAGCTCACTGTTCGGATATCTCACTGCTCCACCCCACCATCAGATCTTTTGTTCTTTTCTGACACAGGAGCTCGCTATGTGCTGTGTAGCCCAGGCTGGCCTCTGCCTCTGCCTCTGCCTCTCAAGCCCTGAGATTCCAGGTGTGTGCTACTACATCTGACTAGGTCTCTTTCTAAAGTAGCCCCTGACCCTTCTGGCACCCTGTCTTTGACCTTTTTCAGGACAATGGGCTTGAGGAGGTGGTAGCGTGTGCCTGGGATGGGCAAACATATATCATCGATCACAACCGCACTGTCGTCCGCTTCCAGGTGGATGAAAACATCCGTGCCTTCTGTGCAGGTGGGACAGTAGCCTCTGAGCTCTGCTGCTCAAGCTTAGTAAATGTGTGGGAAAGTGATTGGCTTGTTTCCATAAGTGTAGCCCAAACACAAATGGGTTCCTTAGTTTTCATTGGTGGGTGATGGATGGGTACCACGCTCCCATCTTGATAGTTTGTTTTTTAATTTGGATGGGAAATTTTATTTATTTTTATATGTCTAAATGTTTGCCTGAATGTATGTCTATGTATCATGACTGTGCAGTGCCCACAAAAGCCAGAAGAGGGTATCATATCCTCAGAACTCGCAGTACAGATAGTTGGGTGTTAGAAATTGAACCTGGTCTTCTGAAAGAGGAGCCAGTATGCTGAGCCATCTCTCCAGCCCCATCGTGGCAGTGTGGAATGAGACGTAAGCACACTGAGGGCTCCGTCTCTAAATGTGTGAAGAGTGGGATGACTGTGGGAGAATGTTTCCAGCTGATCATGGCAGGCTGAAGAAAACACTTCCCGAGTATTCTCTGTAATCTTAAATTTGGGACTTCGGAGCTGCAGTAGCTGTTTGGGTGGCAGGGATATATCTGGCTAATAAAATGACAATGCGACAATGGGCTGACAGTGTACAGTTTGGTGGTAGAACCTTGACTGACAGGTACAAAACTGGGCTCAATCGCCAGGACCCCAAAATAAATGGAAGGAGCTGGAAGTTACCCAGTTACCTGAAAGGTTGGTGTGTGCTTTGGAAGGAAGAAGCAGGCCAAGAAAAGCCTTTCTCTCCGGTTATTTTGTTAACCTGCCCTTTGCACTAGCAGGGCTGTCTCTTTTACTCCAGAGTACCACCAAGATGAGAAGACCTACAAATACATCTTTTGGGGTGCTGACTGTGTCTTTCCCATATCTAAAATGTGATATGTTTTACCATTTTACATACTATACTGGGTTCTTAGCAGAGAAGAAATAGGAAAGGGGCCTTTGTTGATTGCTCTGTGAAGGGCTAATACTGCTGCCTCTGATGTCTTCTTTTTTTTTTTTTTTTTTTTTTTTTTTTTTTTTTGGTTTTTCGAGACAGGGTTTCTCTGTGGCTGTGGAGCCTGTCCTGGAACTAGCTCTGTAGACCAGGCTGGTCTCGAACTCACAGAGATCCGCCTGCCTCTGCCTCCCGAGTGCTGGGATTAAAGGCGTGCGCCACCATCGCCCGGCCTCTGATGTCTTCTTGTCCTTAACCTCCTCCCGCCACCAGGACTAAGTCTTGACATTTGTCTTCTTGCCCCTGTCTCCCAGGCCAGTATGCTTGCAAAGAGGGCCGCAACAGCCCCTGCTTGGTATATGTCACTTTCAATCAGAAGATCTACGTGTACTGGGATGTGCAGCTGGAGCGGATGGAGTCCACTAATCTGCTGAAGCTGCTGGAGGCTGAGCCTGAGTACCACAGCCTACTGCAGGAGCTGGGTGTGGGTGAGTGTCAGCACAACCAGTGGCCCCGCACCCGGAGGCCTGGCAGTCTCTCACCCATCTCTTCTTGGTCTTCAGATCCTGATGATCTCCCTGCAGTCCGTACCCTGCTTCACCAGACTCTCTACCATCCGGACCAACCGCCACAGTGTACCCCCTCAAGCTCCCAGGACCCCACCTAGCTGGACTTGGCCACTTAGCTGATGAAGGATCCTTCTGAGCCCCCACCCTACCCCCAAAGTGATCCATGATCTTGGCCAGATGGGGAGTGCATATTACGAAGGAGCAGGACCTGGTTCTTGGCATGGACGGATGGTGGCACCCCTGAGAGCCTTTGATGACATGACGAGAGCCTTTGATGGGTGCCCTGTGGTTGCCACCCGCATCCCAGGATTTCAGTCTTACAAATCACCCAGCTCCCTGTGCTTCCCTCCCCACGTTCTTACTCTGATTGCAGAAAACAGGCTTGTTTGTGAGAAGAGGCAGCAAACCTTTTCCATGATGCCAACACCTGAAAGGGCACCAGGCTTCAGGCCTGAGGGACTGCAGGATCAGTGGATGAGCCCTCACCTCTCCCAGCCCCAGTGAGTGCCCACTTTTGCAGCATAGCTCCAGGCAGCTGACATGAGTAATCACTGCAGGAATGGCAGAGTGTTTGTTCACAGTTCTGAACGGGCATCCTTCAGGGCATTTTTCTGTCTTACCTTCCTGTGTTCTTCATTTACTGAAGCAACCAGGTCAGGGCTTTCTCATTTTGCTGTTCTCTCTCTCTCTTGTTTTGGTAGTAGTGGTGGTGGTTGGGTTGGTTTTTGTTTGTTTTTGTTATTGTTGTTGTTGTGTGTGCAGAGGTGGAGCCCAGGGCCTTGCACATGCCAGCCAAGCACTCTGCTATTCAGCTGCATTCCAGCCCTGCCATATTATAAAATTGTTTTTTTGTTTTTGTATTTTTGTTGTTGTTGTTGTTAGTTTTGGTTTGGTTTGGTTTTTCAAGACAGGGTCTCTCTGTAACTTTGGAACTTGTCCTGGAACTCGCTCTGTAGACCAGGCTGGCCTCAAACTCACAGAGATTTGCCTGCCTTTGCTTCCTGAGTGCTGGGATTAAAGGCATGCGCTATTACCTCCCAGGCTCAAGCCTTTGACAGATTGTGGCTAGAGTGTATGTGTGTGATGTGTGCGCGGATACATTTTACCCCTGCACACCTGGGTAATGGAGTATGGAAACCAAAAGAGGATATCCAGTCTCCTGCATTCTTTCTCTCCACTTTGTTCCCTTGAGACAGGGTCTCTCTCTGGACCTGAGGCTTTCTGCTTCATCTAGCCAGCTGATCAGTAAGACAACTGTTTGCCTGTGTCTGCACCACACAGTGCTGGGCTCACAAGCATCTGAGCAGCATATATATATATATAAAATTTATTTTTGTTTTATGATCGTTGGTCTTTTGCCTGCATGCGTGTATGTTGGTGTGAGGGCATCAGAAGCCTTGGAACTGGAATCACAGACAGGTTTGAGCTGCCATGTGGGTGGTGGGAACGGAACCCTTTTTCATGGGTCTTGGCTTTGAATCCAGGTTCCCATGCTTGCATGGAAGTGCTCTTCTCTTTCCCACTAAGGAATCTCCCCGGCCCTCAGGGCTTTTGAACTAAGTGAAATGGAGTAAAATAAAATGGAGAACGTCAGATCCTTTGTTCACAATGGAGGTAAATATTGATTTGTTGCAATTGCATGTGTATTTGTGTAGTACCTATAGTGTAAAATGTACTTCGCAAGCCTGTGTTCCAGCTTGGGAGAGGGACCCCATTCACACTTTCCCTGTGGGTCTGAGGGCAGAGGTTCTATGGGCTCCTGGAGTTAAGGAGGAAGAGACCAGAGAAGAACATGGCTTAGAGAAACAGTATTTATTTCAAATGCAGAAGCAGGCTAAGGGCCTGCCCTGGGCCAGGTCTGCCACTACAGGAGCAACAGGAGGCAGACTGGGGAAGGAGCATAGGTCTCGAAGCAATGTGATGAGAAAGTTAGGATTGAGACCAGGTACCATGGCACTTATGCTAAGCCAGCCTGCTCTTGAAAGTGAAGAAAGTGAGGCTGTGTCCCGGCTCCTCTTTGGTCTCCCCTAGGCTTAGTATTTAGTCCCCATGTAAGAGACCTGGCTCCCTAGTTTGGGTTAGATATATCATTGTCTCTATTCCCCTAACCATGGTTTGAGAGTCAGCCCAGGCAGAAAGACACTCAGACATCTGCAACCCAGAAAGGGTAATGACTAAAAGCCCCCAGCTCAGGGACTGTACCTTCCTAGACAGACAGCCCCACTTGCTTAGAACTCCCACCCAGTGGTAAACAGGTGGGGGCAGGATCAGAGGGCCAGCTGCCAGGGGCGCCAGTAATCTGGTTGTGATTGATAAGCCATAGAGGTAAGAGATTAGGGGTAAGGACAGTGGAGGAGTGCTTGGGGTGGGCTTCAGGCAGGTGGAGGCAGCAGGTAACTTTGACCCCCACAGCCAGGAGAAAAGTTTAGAGCCCACTTGCTGTAGGTTCTTTTCTGTAACTAACTTGACTGTGCTCTCCAGAAGGGATAAGAGAGTGGGGAAGCCACAGATACAGATACTTTGAGTAAGAACTCCTGGGACAGCAATGAAGAAGGCAGCTATGGAGAAGCAGAGACGGGGTGGCAACTGCAAGATCAGGGTGGTGAAAAAGAGAGACTAATGCAGTGGTCTCAAGATGCCCTGCTCAGGTAATGTCCCACTCCACACCACTCTTCCCCTAAGGCACAGTGTCGCCCTAGGGACTGGCTGAGACAGTGGTCACTGGCCAGGCTCTTGGTACAGAGGCAGGAAGGGCAGCTCCGAGAAGGGGGCTTTCAGCCGAAGCACTCCACGGTCCAGGTCAATGCAGCACTGCCATGGGGACCCCGAATGTGTTGTCACCTCCCTGCCAGCTCACACATGCTCCCCTTCCTTCTGCCTCCCCTTGCTTCTATGCCCTGCCCCTTCAGGAAGGGAACCCATTCTCTTGATTTTCCTTTTGGGGCTAATTAAGCAAGTTCCAAGTTTTACACCTCTTTGTCTTTCTCACCAGCCTGCTCTGGGCTTCCGCCCTGAGCCTTCTACTTCTTCTAGCATTTTGGGGTCACCAAGCATGGGTGTCTTACCTTGAGGGAAAGTAGAGTCTGCAGTCCCAGGCAAAATTCAGGGCTGTCCACATCTGCAGGAACCATTGGAAAATTAGGTTGCATTCGTGACCACTGATGACCTCCCCTGAGCACTCATCCCTTTCCTTCCCAGTCCACCCCCAGCATTGAGAACAGCAGGGTGGGTAATAATCTGAGCATCTTGGGATTGTGTGCTGACAAGGGCCGCAAACCTCTACCTCTGTCCTGCTCAGAAGAGGTGAGAGGCTGGAGGGCTTACCTACCACCTTGGCTGAGCATGCCACAGTCCCCTGTCCCAGCTCTAGCTCCAACTCTTCCACCTGACTTAGTGGCCCAGGTGTCAGGTCCCCACCTGGGGCTTTTGGGACCTTCCTATGGTTAGAAAGCAAGGGTTATAGCCACCACAGTCCCCAATCTCAGCCCCCCCACAGTTAAAAAGCCAATTCTGATCATGCTCTCTCTCAGTTCCTGAGCCAGGGGAGATATAACCCCTTCCTGCTAGGGCTGCCTGACCAACCCCCCCCCCACACACACACACACTTTTAAAACATAATATGTACTAAGATAGAGTTTGTATGTCATCAAGTTCACACTTGGTTGTAGGTTCTGTTTGGCTTGGTGGGGGAAGGCTGTTTTTTTAAACAGTCTTGTAGAGGTTGGGCTGACTCAGACAGCTTATGTGACCAAGGCTGGCCTTGGTTTCCTAGCTCTCCATCACCCCCAGATGTTACAGGCTTGAGCCACCCATGTGGGATCCCCCTCTGTATGCTGTGATTACCATTAATGAATGCAGAAAACTGCTTTGGATCTATAGCAGGGCACAACTTAGCTAGACAAAGGGGTGGGGGGGAAACTAAACTGAATGCTGGGAGGAAAAAGGCCGAGTCAGAGAGAAGCCTTGTAGCCCCACTGAAGACAGACGCCAGAACTTTAGCTGGTAAACTACAGCCACATGGCGATACACAGATTACTAGAAATGGGTTAAATTAAGGGTTAGCCAATAAGAAGCTAGAGCTAATGGGCCAAGCAGTGTTTTAACTAATATAGTTTCTGTGTGACTATTTTGGGGCTGAGCAGCCAAAAACCAACAAGCAGCCCCTTACAAAAAGCCACCAGGCCCAGCAAAATTCACTCCATAAAAGTGCAATTCAGAGCTAGGCATAATGGCACACACCTTTAATCCCAGCACTTGGGAGGTAAGACATAGTAAGTAAGACCTTGTCTCAAAAATAATAATAATAAGTGCAATTCAATGCTATTCGGTAGTCTGTCAGTGCAACCATCTTCACTAGAGCCTTTGAAGATATTGCATCACCCCAAAAGAAACCCTATCCTGAGCCCAAGTGTGGCCTGTAGTCTCAACACAAACCCACACGCAAGAGGCTGAGGCAGAAGGTTGTTGAATTTGAGGCCGGTCTGGGCTATATAGTGAGACCCTGTATCACAAAACAGAAAGTGGGGGAAAGATTGCGGCCGCTGTCTGCTGGTTTAGACCACGCTTACCCCAGGCGCCTGAGGCATCCAGCAGATATCTGGTTGTGCTGCATCCCTGTGTCCACAGCCACTCGAAGCATCTGGTCCTGGCACTAGAAATCAGAGTGACGGATTGGTGAGTCCCCCAGGAGGGATTAGGTTTGAACCCTCGACTTTCTGGGTCCTTTGATCCTTCCCTTTTAAAGATGGGTGGAAGGAATAAACAAGGGAAACTCTCCCAAAAGGGAATCAAAGGAGCTGGATTCCACACGGTGAGATCACTGAGTTGAGAAAGATCTGGGCCAGAATGGAAATCTTATTTGTTTAGAGGAATCCATGGGAGGTTGAGGGACCTTCTCCTAGTCAAAGGGCTGCAGGTCAGGAAGAGGCTAAGAAGACAAAGTTCTGCACACTCTCAGATTTGGGTCACCAAGAATGGAAAGGAGAAGACAAGCTCACTGCCTTGGGATCCTGACAGGCATCAGGGTGAACACGTGGATATATACGCATGAGGCAATAGTTTTCTTGTTCCAAACATTTATTGAGCATCTACTACGTAAGATGTATGGCTAGTAGATACTTTAGTGAGTGCCGTCTTCAGCAGTGTCAAAGAGATAAAATATGGCTCCACATTGTAAGGTCTATAAAAGGATCATGAATTGAGTGCCCCAGAGCTTGGGGAGGACAGGGAGCTGATTCCTGTTGGTCAGAGAAAAGCTTTCTATGAGGAGGCAGCTTCTGAGTTGGGCCTTAAAAAATAAGAATGTGGACAAGGGATGGTTGGAGATTAGGAAGTAAGATTTCTGGGCAGAGAGACAGTGGACACTTATTGGAATGTTCCACTAGCAGGAGCTTTGGGGCTGCAGAGATGGTTCAGTAGTTAGGAGTATTTGCCACTCTTTCAGAGGACCTGAGTTCAATCCCTAGATTGGGCAGCTCACAACTCCCTGCAACTCCAGCTCCAGAGATCCACCAGCCTCTCTGGCCACTGCGCGCACACAAACACACACACACATGACATCACAAACACATAAATTTTAAAAAGATTTTTTTTGCACTTTGGAACATGAGCCTTTTGTTTTTTTGGGTTTTTTTTTGTTTTGTTTTTTTTATTTTTTTATTTTTTTTTTAACATGGAGCCTTTTGTACTCATGCATACATTTCCAAAGTGTATGATACAGTAAAGGAGACTCACATATGTAAATAAACTTTGATAAAAGCATGGGAGCATAGTACTGCTGATGGATGGCCTTATTCAGCGAAGACAGGCGAGACAGGGAAGCAGATGCAGGGACAGAGAAGGAGAAAAATGACTTTGCTCCTTTTGGCTGCTGAGGCAGAAGGGAGAGCTGGTAGAGAGAGCAGGCTCAGCAAGCAAGGGAAAGGACCCCAGGAAGCCTCTTACCTTGCAGTTGACAAGAAGAGCTGGCCTCTGTGTCTCGCTGGTCCTGCCGCTGTCGCTGTCATGGCTGGGGATCTGTGCCTGCACCAGGGGAGACTCCCCCTGAAGCCGCCTCTGGTTTCCCTCCACCAGGCGTCTTTGGAGCACACTGTGTGGCTGCTGGCTCCATCACAAAATAGTGAAAGCAGATCTAAGCCCAGGATCCAGGCTGCGTGCTTCCCCACCTCTATGCCTTGCAAACCACAAGATGCTTGCTCTACCCCAGACCTGAGGAGCAGTAAGAGAGTTGCTGAGGGATGGCTCAGTAGGGAAGAGGACTGGCTGCTTTTCTAAAGGACCTGGGTTTGATTTCTAGCACCTACGCAGAGGCTCATAACTAATTCCAGTATGGTGCAAGTCTTGTA